TTCTTTTTGGCCAGCTGATAAAACATTGTGGTAGTGAGACAAAGTATGCATTAGAACCAATCAAAAGGGATGGGAGGTAGCTTCCTGTGGGTTGAGTTACCGTGCTGAATTTATACATGAATTTTAACATTAACCATTTCCAAAACTGTCAGTCATGGCCTGTCCATCAAATAGGCTTTATTACTTTCTTTCTTTCTTTCAACAAAGCAATGACAAAATAAATGGATGTCCATGTTCATGGGTAGCGATGAATAAAAACAAATTTTCTGTAATTTTTTATTTTTGCGCTTATAGTACAAAAGATAAAGTAGATATTAATAAAATAGGATGGAGATAATAAATTGGTTTTATTATTCATTCCATGGAATATAAACGTTGTCAAATCGGGAGGTGGTTTGAAAGTACACACATCAATTCCATGGGGTCACATAAAATAGAGATTAAGAGGGAAAAAAAAGGTCCCACCTACATAGGGTGTGTGGCAAAATGATCTTAAGCAGACTTGAAGAAGCATGCGTGATATGACCTGACTGACAAGCTACACACCTCAGTGTGAAAATTGAGCCATCAAATGCTTGCCAGCGCTATAAAGTAGGGGGGAGATGACAGTATGTGTAAATGTGCGCGAGAAGAATACCGCGGCTAATTCATCAATCAAGCGATGTGAAATTTGTTCGTGAAGATGAAATTATAAGAATTCACATTTTGAAAATTGTCAGTTATAACAGTAATGTAATCTGCTAATGCACTATCTGAATGGGAGATGATATTTACAATCATACAGACCAAAGAATGCTTTTCAATGTTGCCAAATTGGGGCACACAATTGAGTTGACTATCAGGGGGATCGGTTGATGGAATTGACGAATGTTTGTCCAGACATCTCAAGGCATTTTGATTCAGCTCACCAATGGATTTTAGTCTTACACCTTGTTGTATGGATTAGACGTGCGCTCACTAGTCGTGCTGAGATTGACGAAGCATGACGAGGCCGTATGAATAAATGTGTTCTGAAGACCAGCCTGATTTGCCGGTATTGTAATGCTGGATTTGATCAGAAATCCGTGAGTGAAATTGAATGACTCAATAATGAAATCAGACAGCGACAGTGAGGTTACTGTAATATGATTCACGTAAAACTCACTCTCCCCGAGTGACCAGTCACTGATTTCCACGTAAATGACATTGCTCCTAACCCACGCACTACACGTCAATAATTGCCAACACTGTCTCTTAAAAAACATCACTAGCATTGTGAAAACCCATCTCTAAAAAAAATAACGTGTTCAGCAAATTCTGCTGGCAGTAATGTACGAGTCAATGAGCGTGTACAGCATCGATGTTTGAAAACAAGACCTAAACTCATTTCCTAAAAGTGTGACGTACACAATGCAGACTTACAACACATACAAGTCAATAAAACGTGATAATCATGTTCGCAAACAAAAAAGACGAGAAACAAAAGGGATCACACCACGCGATAGATAATAATGCCAACATAATAACAGTATAAATAGAGAAAGATCAAATTATCCCGATTGCGTTAAAATCCAGCGGGAGTAAGGGATTAGTCGGCTGCAATCTTTTTCTTTTTACAACACAATAGGTGAAATGATAGTAGACACATACACTGATTAGTAACGGGAGACTTGAATGAAAGTGGCAATCAGACGGTGTGGTGTTCTGCCTAACTTTGCAAAACTCATTAAAGTCTACAGAAATTTAGGGACCTTTGCAAATTTTCCCAAGTCAAATGAGAAAACCAATCACAAATGATGAAGTTGTCCTCTGTTGAATGTTTAAATTTGTTTCATAATGCATAATATTTAAACATAATTATAACCCTACTATAAGTAATAGTAGTTGGGGGTTTAGATAAAGCAATTATACCATTCACAGCACAAAGTACATTGTATTGCAATTTCTTTTAACTTTTGTTGTTGATTGGGACCAAATAGACCTAATTTTCTATCACCTGCTGGTATCTTTCAATATTTTTGAAAAACATTATACAGATATATTTTGTGAGAGTAACAAAAGTTCACCTTGGTGTTAATGCGTCAAAATTTTGCATATTTAACAAGGTAATAAATTAGGCACAGAAAAAAATGTACTAATTCATTTTCCTAAATCAGAGCAATGTGTACATTTTTATTTTATATTCATTTTAAAATTGTCAAAAAAATTTTGTCTGTCTTTTCACAAAATCTAAGTGATGACCAGAAATACAAATATTATTTCTTGGCCTGATATTGAACAGGAGGTCTGGAAGCTTGGTGGCTTTCGTAAAATATAGCCCTAAAATGTGTACACCCTCTGATAAAATTGGTTACAATTACGAGATCTTAATAAAAATAGTTCTGACGTAAACAACAGAATGTTGTTCAGGTTAAGAACATGATGAAGTAAGTTCGGTGAAGTACGGTATGATCAAATCAAACTGTGTTTAATACTTTTTTTGTGTCTTTTTAGTGATAGGAAGTTAACAAGCTGAACAAAGACATTAAAAATGATTTCAACACCATAACAGTTACAAATATGCCTCAGTTTTTGATTCATTTGTCCAAACAACCTCATACATATTCATGAGGGATTAATAACACTTTTGTCAAATCACAAACTTTTTTAGGATCCTTTAGGTGCCACAGTTAGATGCCACTTTACAAGAAATATAATCAAAATAATTGTTTCCTTATTTTCCCCAAAATTATGTTCATTTGGTCAAAAATTATGGAAAAATTAATAAAAATAGACGTTTCACCAAAATT